AAAACTCTACCTGTTTTATATTTGATCAGCTCGTCTCCTCCTACAGTGATGCTCTGCTCCCAGAGCTCCTGCAACACCTGGAACGCTCCCTAAAAGTCCTGTTTTATAAATATGCTGAGCAACATCTACAATAAGTGCTGAGTCACTTAAACCCTTTAACTTGATTTGTATTTATGGAGAAGAGGTGGAACGGAGTTAAATCTGAGGAGCAGGACGGTTCAGAGTGATGATTGTGCTGCTGTGGCCAGAAACCCTTCATAAACCATCGTACTTGGTCCAGGTGCAGTTAGACGCCATCGTGCCGCATTTCACCTTGTTTGTGCCGAAAACCTGAACTCATTACAGTAAAACTCAGCGCTGACAGTCCAACCCCTGGGAATGAATTTACGGTGCACAACCTTGTGGACGTCATTTCTCAGTCGTTTCCCAGTTTGTCTACAATCCAGTAAACGCAGAAGGTTTGTGTAAATAACATTCAATATTAAAGACGGAGGGACTGAGCGTCGTTGAAGGTTTAAGGTCAGGATGACTTCAACCCCAGAGACCAACATTAGTCGGTTCAGGTTTGCTTTGCAGTTGGATTTGTACAGATGTTAACCAACCACGGAGCGGTTCTGTCATTACAAACTGTTTTCTTTAAGCGTCATTGTGGACAAAAAGCCGGTTCTGTTGGTTCTGTGTGAGAACTACACGTGCTCCTATTTCAATATTCGTGTTAATATTGGTGAAAGAAAGGCAGCGGAGCAGTCAAAGCATGAGATTTACAGCCTCTAACCTTCATTTACCCACGTCGAAAGTGTGTTTGTATGTGTGTGAGAGAGAATCAAAGCGTTGGAGGGCGTGACGGCTGCTGAATGATAAATCTGAGATGAAATCAGAGTCTGGGTTTGACTGTCCCCCTGTGCTCAGCCTCCTTCTTCTCCTCCTCGTCCTCCTCCTCGTCTGAGTGTAAATATCGGAGGCTTTAAAAGTTTAACAGGCTCTCAGGGTAAACTCTCCAAGGTTATTGTAGTTTTTCCAATTTAGCTTTAGTTTCCAATCTGCTGTAAAGATCAGCGCCGGGCCGTCATAAAGGTCCGGACGGAGAGCGACGGCTATCGGAGGTTCACTGGAGCTCTGGCGTTGTGTAATGGCATTGATCGTTTTCTGTCTAACTATTTCGCAGAATGTTCCATCGATTGTTGATCAAAACAAATTAATTAGTGCTGATTCTCGCTGTCGACACCGGTTTGGTTTCAGTGTGTCGGAGCACGCTGTGGTAAAAATATCACTGGGTGACCCTTTGTGTGTTTCTGTTGCAGGCTCAGAAGTTGAAGTCGAACTCCAGCGTGGACGGCGTCCTCTGCGTGGTAAGTTTGTTCTCAATTAGCGCTTCAATCACAACCCTTAATCACGTATCGGATCGGGTTGGACTCATCGCCCTGCTGACCCAGAAAAAGCTTCACATGTTGTGACGAGGTTGTTTTTTAACCCATTTTCCTCAAACTAACCGAGTCGTGTTGGCGCCTAAAGCCAACGAAGGAGTGACTGAAAACAACACTGACTCTGGAGGAGCTGAATTTTGTGGCTGTTCTATTATTTAAAGCCATTTAACGCTGTCACCCTTAATTATGCAGAATTTTACACTTTAATTCAATTTAAACGGATGAGTTATATAAAAACAGTTGTGTTTTTTGCACCAGGAGGTTTATTTTTGAGGTGAATTTGGACATTTTAATACGGAGGTAACTCAGTGTTGAGACTTTTGGCAGAGCTGCAGTTTTGGCATCTTTATGTTTGTTGTTTTTAGCTTCAGATGTTGACAATCATCCATCCATCCATCATCTATACACCACTTAGTCCTCACTAGGGTCATGGGGGGGCTGGAGTCTATCCCAGCTGACTCAGGGTGAAGGCAGGTTCACCTGGACAGGTAACCAGTCTATCACAGGGCTACACTTAGAGACAGACAACCAAGCACACTCACATTCACACCTACGGACAATTTACAATCACCAATTAACCTCAGCATGTTTCTGGACTGTGGGAGGAAGCCGGAGAACCCGGAGAGAACCCACGCTGCATGGGGAGAACATGGAGACTCCACGCAGGAAGATCCCGGGTGTCCTCACCGGGACGCCAACCGACGACCTTCTAGCTGTGAGGCGCTAACGATGCTAACCACTGAGACACCTGCAGCCCTGTTGACAGTCAACATAGGGGGAAAAAAAGGGTTTCAAACAGCACATTTTTTTTGTATGAATGTTTTCAACATTACAAAAGTAACTTCATGTAAAACTGCATCTTAAGCGTTTTCAATTTCAGTATAAATAGAATATAACTCCTAATCTAATCTAATCTAATCTAATCGTCTGGACATTCAGAAAAACTACGTGACTGAAGTGAGACAGAGACACTTGAAGATATTCAATAAAAACGACAGTTTTAAAGTGTCAAAGACTGTAATTCACCATTTTACGTTGGCAGCTGTTTCTTTTTACTGTTACCTAAAAGGTTTATAGTAATCGGGACTCAGGGAAAACTTTGAACACCTTTTTAGCTCTTTGTTGCAGTCGTCTCACACTGAAAATGGTGTTCGTACGGCAGCCAAATCTGGACATTAACACAGTCTTGAGGCGTATTTTTGCAGAAAATGAAAGTGCAAAAACAACTAGAGTCCATCTGAAGCCTGTTTCAAGTCTCTGGAAGCTGATTATTGAGGTATTTTATGATGTATTTGGAGTTTGAAGTCAAAAGTGGTATCAAAGATTTGTCTTTATTTGAAAAAAACAGAATCACAGCCAGTAAAAGTTTCACAGAACTTGTGCTGAGAGATGAGATCTCAAACCGTTTGGCCGTTTTATCCCCGAAAACAATTTGGTTTGAGACCACAAGGCAATTGCTGGAGTTATCAAGTCATCACAAACTCTAATCCGACCTCGCTGTTGGAAGTCGGCGACCTCCCCCTGCCAGCGATTGCCACGCCAATCCCTCCTGCCTTCTTTGTAAACTCCCGTTCTTTGTAGTTCCTTTGAGCCTGAAATGGGATCGTTGCTTATCTGGTGGCTTTTAAAGTTCACTGTAAATGTCATTGTACAATAATAAGGCACTGTTATGCACTGGACTGACATTTCATAGAGGCAGGGCAGGTCTGGGGGAGATGACCCGGCCGTTAGCTTGCAGCTTTATTAGCCAGCCGGAGATCGGCGGTAAAGCTCCACGTACGCATCCTGACACGTGGCGGCACATGCAAATCCACACACACACACACACACACAGACGTACTTTTCATCTCCCCACTGTGGTATTTTAGCTCTAAACACAACCTTTTGATGTTTGCTGTGTCATACTAGATGAATATATTTAATTTTTTCTTATCGGTGAAATTAAACAGCCGAACGTCGGGTGTCACATCGTAAAGTGCAAACCGCCGGGGTTCAGTGAAATCAAACTGCTCTGTGCGACGTGTGCCGCCTGCATAAAAGCACCTGAAGGAAAGTGCCTTCGCTTGAAGAGCTTGGCAGCGTTTTGTGTTGTTGTTGTTGTTGTTTACGTTGATCATCATTTATCAAGCTGTCCTGAGACACATCCCAGAATCTGCCGTGGAGCAGATCCAGAGGCTGCCGCTGCTGATTCATGAAAGCGTCTCATGTCCCAATCTGGAGCTGCAGACCGGGCGTCTCTGAGCACACGTTAGCCAGTGAAGCTAATCTGACCAACGCTAGCCGCCCTGAACGCTGTGAGATCAGATTCTAGCACGCAGTGAGTTTCACCGTCGGCCGGTCTGGAGCTCGGTACCGGTACCGGTGACTTTGATCAGACTGAGGCTCAGGTGGCAGAGAGAGTTTTCCACTAATCGCAGGTTTGGACGCTTCTCCCGTCCACATGCTGGAAAGTACTTGGACGAGAACCTCGCATCGGTTTTTGAGTGTTTGTGTGAACGAGAGGCAAAAAAAAAAAAGGAAAAAGTATTTTTCTGTAGCAGGAAAACGTGCATAAGAGCAGCTCATAAAGTTTAGCATCATGTCTAGCCCTGTGGGAAGTAACTGCCAGGAAAATCTTTTTTTTTTTTTGAAAATGGAATGTTTATCGAACCTTCTGATGATTAAAAATAATAATAATTAAACATCAGTTTTTATATCTGAATTTTAATTTGTAAAATTGTTGCTATCCAGAGTTTTTAGGTCCATGAATCACTGATCCGTGGTGGATCATCTGAACACTGACTGTGTCTGATTGTATAGATTGATCAGATTGTTCAGGAAACAAAATGTCACACTGATGATGTCGAGGTCTCAAACAGTCATGTATCAGGTATGATGCTGTTGGTGTCACAGGGCCACAACACTCCCTGTTTGATTTCAGGAAAGCCGTCCTTTGATTTGTGCTTCAGACAACATCACTGCTGGATAGTAACGAGTCGAGCTGCTGCACAGAAGTTCAACCCAGCATGCAGAGGATCTCACTTTCTGACCTAAATGATGTTCTGAATAGAAAAGGGTTAAATTTAGACACCAAATGTTTCTGAGTTGACAAGTTTAGAGTTCATCCCAGGTCAGGGATTAAGAAGGTCTAACTAGACTCTACCTTGACCTTAGATTACACTTTAAAATGAAACTTTATTCAAACATCACGACACTACAGCTGGAAATAACATCAGATAGCTCTCGATGGATCCGGTCTCTTCAAATGTCCACTGACTTGACCGAGCGCTTCAGGTGGAGCAGGACGACGTTCCACCAGCAGCCTCCTACAGAAACCTCATTAGCTAACTGATTAGCGGCACCACGCCATGCTAATGATAAGGCGCTCGTTACTGACTCTACAACCCAACTCTCCATCTGCTCGTCGTCTTCTCCAGAATCCTGGGCTTACTCGTGATTCTGTTGTAGAGATGTGTGTTGGACCATAAAAATGGATAGAATTTAATCCATTATCGCATGCTGAATTCATATTTTTGTTCATTATGATTTGGTGGCAGAATAGTTTTGTAGCTGATTTTGGCAATAAGACTAGTTTAATAATAAAGACAAAACCTGCAAAAAAAAAGTCGGTATGTTCCCTATTTTATGTCTACATAAAGTGCAACATGCTAACTCTGCACCGTAGTGATGCTGAATAAATAATGTTTGTCACAAACAGAATGCAGACATTATCACGTAGACGTGGATTTTTTTCTTGTATTGGAGGGTGCTAGCATGTAGCCTGAGTATGTTAGCATAATACTGAAAGGATAAATGTCTAAAAGAAATTCCCTTTTTATTTCTTAATTTATGAGCATTATTAGTTGCAAGTAAACTATGTTCAGTTGTCTACTTGTGGCTCATGAAGGAATCTGGGTTAAAAAACAAACTCAATGAGTCTCATGAAGCCCAACATGTCGTCACTCTTTTTCTAACCACACTGATCTGTGTCTGTTTTATCCGTCTCCGTCCCTCAGGACCCTCAGATAGACGGTCCCAGTACGTCCAACGCCATCCTGAGAAACGGAGCGGCCTCCAGACGGCCCGCGGGCCTGGCCTCGCTGCTGCCCCCGCTGCTCTGGCTGTGGTACTGCAGCCTGCCGGGGGACTTGTAGCCGCTTCGCAGCAACAAACTACAACGGACTGACAAACACACATTTGTATAAAAGAAAAAGCAAAACAAGAAATTATATCCTTTTCTTTTCAGTAATACCTGTTGTACTTTCATTTCCTCCCTGGATTCTCTCTCTTTTGATTCCTACTTCGATTTTTTTATGGATTTTGGAGAAGCTTTGTTGTTTTATCGTCTTCGTTTTGTTTTGGTTTTTTAGCATCGCAGCTGTGTGCTACTAAAACGGTGATCTACTATACATGTTAACTCAGTTCTGGCTGTGCGTTCACGTTGGGTTAGTTGAAAAAAAAATAAAAATAAAGTAAAGGGATTTACAGCTTCTATTTATTCTGCTCACTTGGGCAGAAATGAGAAAATCCTCTAGGACTACATTCCAATAAACCACAGCTGGTGGCTCTTGGAAGCGCAATGTAAATTAGCATCAGTTTTCAGAGTCGTCCAATCAGTTTCCACCCACGTCTGTCTGTGTGTTGAGGCTATCGGTGGGATCTTTCGCTTAAAAGTCACAGTCTGTTCAGTAACTGCTACATCCTGTCACTCGGGCAGCCTTCTAGGTGTTTTTCCGTCTCCTCTGTGGTGTGTGTGGTTTGATGATGACGTGATCTGGTGTTTTACATTCTCGTGAGCTGAGTGAGAGGTCCACCCCGTCTCGTTTCCTTTCAGGACAAACGCCGACAACTTCAAACGTCAGCCAGAAACATCGTCTGTGCCCAAACTGTCCTCACTGTAGCTCGTACTGAACACACGCCGCCGCCGCTGGCAAAAGCACACGAGCAAAGTCCCACAAACACGTACTGCACATGTGCACACATTCAGACGAACACACACAGCGGCAGACTTTCCCTCCACCTCGGCCCGCCTAACGAACTGCTGCTCATTAGTGATTGTACATACTCGTAATTGTCCCGGCCACGTTTTGGTGTTTCTCTTCTGGACGAGGTGACGGAGAAGCTGCTGAGCTTTCACCCGGATGAGCTTGTTTTTTGTTTTTTATGTACTTTGCTGCGTTGAGCCCACAAAAACAAGACGGAAACCACGTTTATCGCCTCAGTTGTGAAACGTCGGAGCTTCGTGCGGAGGAAGGGCGTCGTTTAAACTGACCGCTCGCTAAACAGCTGTCGGGTTTTGTATTCTAGCATCGCGTGTACAGGTTGCCGTGACGAATAATTGGATTTCAGGCAGGCGGTGCTCAGTTTTGTCAGCTACAATGTGAGCTTTCACCCGTATGTTTTGAACATGCTAGCATGCCGCTACGATAGCAGCTCTGCTCCATCCTGTGCTGTGGACGGGAGGCCAACAGGAAGCCGTGGAGATAAACGGCCGGTGTTGTTGTCCTGTAGGGTGGCGCCAAGAAAACTGTAAAATGACAGTTATTTGGTTTAAATAACGCCATTGACAAGACACATGTGAGGAAAGAGGAATGATTCTAACGGGTGAGGACTGAAGCCTTCATTATACTCCAGATGCGTAGATCAGCAGCTGCAGACGCCTCAGATGTGCAGCTACTGATACTGTTCTCCTGTCTGGTTTAATGGGAGGGTTCTGATCCATTCATGCGCCGTAGCGCTACGTATTCCAACCATGCATGCGGCTGTTGTGGCGTCATAGCAGAAGACAAGACTTCCTCGAACCCTCTCAGATCCTTTCTTACTCCCAGACAGGAAACACTAATGAGTTTGGTAAATGCATTTTAGGCAAAGAACCTCAAATTCAACAAAGAGCAGGACGGCGTTGCTATGGATACATCCATGACGTGATGTTGTGCAAACCAACCCAACGGTGTGCAGAGCAGCCATCCTACAAGGACAATGTGTGTATAGTCAAGTATAGAAGCTCTAATGGACTCCAAGAGGACTAGAAAGTAGTCCAAGACCAGAGTTATACTCTGTGAGTCCATGAGGGTCCACTGGGCTCTGCAGGACGTAAACATTGATCCAAAACTTGTGTCTGATTGGACGGTCCGCACAGCGACTGTGCTGCAAGGACCAGTGTGTTAATGCATGCAGGACTTAGATACGACCTACCGAGTCCAAGCAGACTAGAAAGTAAGACCAGTGCTATAGTTTCCTCGTCTGTGAGGATCCACAACGGACCACTGGGGTCCATGTGACGGAAATTTAGTTTGTTCTTCAAGTCTGCGAGGGTCCTCCACGGACATTTACCCAAAACTGCTGGGCGACTACGCCACAGCACCAACATGTTCTGCAGCAGTACTCATGCAGAATGCATAGATAGAACCCACTAGGCGTTAATAGATTAGATTGGACTGGAAGTGGACTCACAAGTAGGATGATACCAACAGCTACTCATCCGTGTGTCCATGTTTGTCCACATGAGGTGGACAGCGGAGGATAATCGAGGCTTAAGGCTCTGATCGGGTGCATGGAGCTGAACTGGCAACCCCAAAATGAAGGCCTGACTTCAGCAGCTTATACTTTCTTTATATTTTTCCAATTGTAAAGACAAAACTGACGCCAGCCGTCCAACCTTCTGCTCGGTTCTGACGCTACCTCGCCTCTCCTCCAGACTCCAGACCTGCTGCGCTTGAACTGCTCGGGGCGGGAGTTTAGCAAACGGTCAGCTTGCTTCTTGCTTTTTCTCTGTTTTATTTAGTTTATGTGGAAGCCATTAAAGCGTTTTGTACGTCTGCTCCAGAGGACTGCTGGGAAAATAAAATGTTAAAAAATCAACAAAACCAGAACCGCGGCGTCGCCATGGCGCTCTCGGAGGTGGAGGAGCATCTGTTTCCATCAGCTTTGCACACGGAGGCATCTGGCTTCACGCCGATCCTCCCCCTCACGGCAAATCCAGCCTTTCATTCTGACAGACTTCCCCCCGCGGCCGGCTCGCCATCACCACGTTTACATACATCGCCGCGGCATGTTCGGCAAATTCCTTTTAGCCGCGTTTGGACGGGAGCGTTCACGACTCGCTGCTTGGGTTTATGTAGCTTCTCAAAACACAACTAATGTATAGTAGAACTTAAATGTTATTTACCGAGCATAAACATGGTATATGCACTGTATGTACTTGGCTGAAACTATGAATTGGACAAATAAATGTCTGATGATATTCTATTTCAGAGCATTGTGAGCTATTTTGACATTCAGATACAACATAGAGTACATTGAATAAGGCAGAATATTGTTTTTTATAACAACTTAAATGTATATTTCTCCGAGTATGTACATGATTATGGAATATTATTGCATCTGAGACAGAGGATATCAATGTAACTCTCCTATTGTGGTTTAAAAAAAACAAACGACTGTATTTCCATATTGTTTTGTACCATAGATTCATTTACGATGTCGCTTAAATATAGTGTCGGTTTTTTTGGGCTAAGATTTACACTTATTTTTCTATCTTTTACTTAGTTTTTGCGGTTTAGATGAGTTGAAGTGAATGAGATGGAGCTGCCACAGGTTTTTCTAAGAGCGTTTGGGCCAGAACGAAAACGCATTGCATGAAAAGGAAACGTCTAAAGAGAAATATATTCTACGACACGCCGTCGGAGGCTTTTTTTTATTTGGCTAGAAGTTGGCTGAAGTTAGCACAGACTGAATGTGTGCAGTTTGGACGGAAAGTTAAAGACGAATGTTCACAGTTTCTCTTTGACCACAAACTTTGGGACCGATTAAAGTTTGTCGGATCATTTTCTATTTGAATCCCAGTGTTCATATCGTCACGGGTCCCTGAGAGCAAAGTTTATCGAGGTGGTTTCAGAACCGGGCCGGCTTCCCTCTGACGGAAGAATCCCGAACTAAAGTTGGAAATAAGTTTTCTGTCCTTCGCCATCTCATCTGCTGTTTGAAAATACCAGAACTGGCTTTTTTTGAAGACGCAGACTCCCTCGGCTTTCCGGCATCATTAACTTCTTAGCTTGTGAAAATGTAAAATCTATTGTACAAAAGTTATAATTAAAACCTGTTAAATCACCCAGACTGTTTGTCCGTGGCGTTATTTGGATGAAAGCAGCCGGAGGTCGTGGAGGTGAGCCCGAGCAGCCGATAGGATCTGCTGAGTTAATGCTGCTGACCTCAGGTTACCGAGCCACAGATGAAGATAAAGAAGCTGAGAGCTGAGCGCTCACTCATTTTTTTAGCCTCGGCTGACCGCAGGACCAACACGGCATCATCCAGAGCTGCAGGGGATGAAAAACAACAACATGCACATGAGACATGTTCTGCAGGAACCAAAGAGAAAATCAGCAAGAAAAAGGCCAAATCTGCACTAATCCAGCAGGAATTCATCATTAATCATGAATCATTGTGTAAAGTTTCAGTCGGTATGATCTGTTTCAGGAGCAACTTAAATCTAAAATTATGATTTTTTTTTTTTTAAATTAAATTTTCTAATTTTAGTTTTCATTCCTTTTTTAATAATGTATTTACTCTAATTGACAACTGTTGGTATTGATTTATTTTCTTTTATTGTATTTCTATACACTAAAAAAAACAAAAGATAAATACGTTTTTCTGTTTTTCATATTAAGAGAATGTATCTATAAAATCCAATAGTAAACAGTAAAATCTTTTAGTGTTAATTTCATGAAATAAAACAGACAAATAAAGTTGTTTGCAATTAAAAAAAAAAAAAATCTGACAGTGAGGATGTGAAAAAAAAAACATTAAAACAGCAGAAAACTAACATTCAAAACTTTTCAAATCCAATTATTACATGTGCCACAAAAACAGGATGTAGCTGTTAGTAAGGAATTCAATAAAACATCAAAACAGACATAAAAATATAACTGAATATTTAAATATGAAACAGTTATGGCAGATTGACAAGAAAACAAAGTCATGTTAATTTAAATGTTCTTTATTTGTCCTGCAGGAATCGATGCTTATTTTGATGTTGTCATTAAATGTTTCCAACTGTGGGATTAAAATGTAATTAATAGTATTGAACTTGAAATTAACATTTTAATCAAGTAAACTGAAGGGGAATAACAGATTTGTGAATATATTTTAACAGTGTTTTTATCTTTATCTAAAAGCAGTCGTTTTTTTTACTGAATTTTTATAATTATTCACAGTTCCTGTTTTTGAATGTTTTCTCACATTAGACTTGTTCATCCATCCTCTGGTTTTACTGCAGTTTTATGGATATTTTCATGTATTTCAATAATACAGAAAAATACTGTAACATAAAGAAGGGAAAGAAAGTTTTGTAAAATGACAACTTGTTGTTTTGCAGTACAGTCAGTATATTTAATTTAATTTAATTTAATTTAATTTAATGTAACAACTCCTAAACAATAAACTTGCATTATTATATATCATTAGGACACTGCAATAGTCAAAATAGGCTCCAATGCACCCAGAAACTCAAAGAAAAGGACACTTAGTATGTTTAAATTAATTTAATAAGCATGACTGTGTCACTTTCAGGTAACTCAGGGAACAAAATCAGCCTGAAGCGACTGAAACGTTGAATCTACGCTGCTGGCCGACGCTGAACCCAAACTGAAGCACAAGTTATGACTGAAGTTGGATAAATGTTGGATTTTGTGCCACAGAATCAGTTTTTCTTTAACCATCATGTAGAAAGTCAGCCTGAAGCTCGTTAAATGTTGAAGCAGTGTTGGTGAAGCATCACTAATTCAACCACCATCATCTGAAAGGTCGTTAGTGTCTCACGTTCAGCTGGTTCAGAATTGAAACGTTAAAATATTTAAGCATGAATTCGACACTTTCAGGGAATAAAACTGCTGAAATTAAACACATGAATCCGTCTTTGTTGCTTCATCCTCATCACAGATCCACAGTTCTGACATTAAATCAATGTTGAATTAACGTCTTTCATTATCTGGGATCCTCAGCGGTGGATCTCAGGAGTCTCCGCCCAACCAGGACGCACAGCGACCCAAATCTAACCCACCTGAGGCGGCGGACAGGTGCGTGCTGGTGGCTCATGGCGGAGGGTCCTGGGGTCACGTGTCCTGGTGTTCTGGTGACAGTTTGTCCTCGTTAT